AAGAAAATGCAAGGCGTGTACAGAACATAATCCTGATCCAATTAAACTGAACTGTTGCGCAACACGCGTCCTTTCTGCCCAACCTGACTTTGCATCACAAAGGATACATCTACAAGAGGTAAGTTGCAATTAATTAATTATTCCAATATTCCAAAATAATTAAAAAATACTTATCTTTTTAGGTTATTGAGACAGCAGGACATATGTGCATGTTCTATCTGAAGTTCCACTGCGAGCTTAATTATATCGAGTCCTTTTGGGCGGAGGCAAAGCGGTATTCACGCCTTCACTGCAATTATTCGTTCAATGATCTTAAGGAAGTTGTACCGCGTGCATTAGATTCAATTAGCCTAACAAAAATTCGCTGGTTTTCACGTCATTCTGCGCATTACATAAGTGCTTACGAACTTGGACTTTCAGGCAAGGCAGCTGTCTTTGCAGTTAAGCGGTATCGGTCTCATCATCGGATTCCTGCAAACATTTTGAAAGAATTTGGAGATATGAGTTGCGATTAGCCAATCATATACAGTTATGTGATTTTATATGCACCAATCATATCTTGGCATGTGATACCGGTGGTGCTGAAAATCTCGCTATTACTATTAAAATTGACGTTAAGAAAAACCTAACTACAAAAAATTTTTATAATAAAATGAATAAAAAAAATACGTTGCATTACAGACCATATCAAGAGCTATTAAACAACGTATTTTTTTTTAATGTTTATATAATTAAATAAAATTCCTTTATGCTTTAAAGTTATTAAAAATTATTGGATGCGACTAAGCTGTTTGCACCATATTACGTGATATTGATTCTATCTAACCAATAAGAATGCGCATAACCAATAGGAATATAGCAAATTTTTTATCAGCCCGGCAAAAAATCCGAGACAAGAAAATAAAAAAAGACAAAAAATGCGAAAAATACAAAAAACAGATATCTAAATCTAGCTTGACGCACTATCAAAAAATGTCGGGAAGGCAATTTTATATATAATTCTAATTTCAAATCTAGTTCTAATACTTGATATCTAATATTAATCGGATATTTTAATGGATCTATTTCAGATTACATGACAGTAACTTTTTTTGCTGTGGCTAGGTAACAAGAGAAACAATAAAAAGGATTAATTCTGAGAATTGGAGTAAATAAAAGTAATTTTTTGTCTTATATTTTTTATGTCAACCTCAGTTGTAGTACATCAACGTTATGATTATTTCGTTACTTGAGATATCTGTAAGACGTTTGTGAATGCTTTATAATCAGAAAGCTTTTGCTAATATTTCAACTATCCCGGGTTATCACGTGAAGGAACGATCGGTCGTGGATGAGCTGATTTGGGAAGTCTACGAACAGTGCTTCGAAACAGTGCTGAATCGACCTTTGACACAAGAAAATAAAATATGTGAAAACAGATGTCAAAATCTAGCTTGAAGTACTAATAAAAAATGTCGAAAAAGCAATTTTACATATAAAATTATCCTCTACCCTAATCCAAACGATAAAATAATCTTTAACGTCAATTTTTCGTCATTACGTGCGTGATTTTTTGAAGGTCATGTGATCCTGCATTGTCCCTAAGAACTATTCGTAAACTTCCCGTTCTTGATCGGTAAAGTTCAGTCACATGATAAAAGTCAGATCTTTTCCACGGGAAGTCTACAGACAGTGCTTCGGTACAGTGCTGAATCACGTGGCCTTTGACATAAGAAAATAAAAATGTGGAAAACAGATGTCTAAATCTAGCTTGAAATGCTAATAAACAATGTCGGAAAAGCAATTTTACATATAAACTTATCCTCAGCTCTAACCCTAATCCAAACGATAAAATAATCTTTAACGTCAATTTTCCGTGATCATGTGCGCGTGGATTTTAGAAGGCCACGTGATCATGCACTGTTCCTAAGCACTGTCCGTAGACTTCTCGCTTTTTCCGGAGTCACATGACGAATATGTCCATAAATCTTCTGTCCATAAATCTGTCCGATAACGATAAAAGAAAAAAAGTGCGATTATATCAAATTGTGCCTAATAGAGGTATTTTTTCATAAGCTCTATATTAATTGGTTTAAAAGTGTGTGACTATAAAAATTTTGTGCTGATATAGTGTTTTATAGTTGGTTTTTGAAATATGTGTGACTATATCAAGATTTTCACATGATGTGCTTATATCGTATCTTTCTATAATATTACTAATTAAGGATCGATATCGATATATATATATATATATATATTCGTCAGATTGAAAATCATGTGATTAATCAGGCCAGTTAAACCAAAAATAATCTGGTTCCAAACTCCACTTTCTAGTTTAAAGTTGAATTAACACGCAGCAGCTCAATAAGAAAATAAGTACTGTTCAGGCGACTATATCACTGTTTTCAAATCATGAAACGGTGCTTCGATATGGTAGAATAAACACTTGGAAAGATAGGCGTGGTCACTCGAAATTAAAATTATTCTATATAAGTAAACTGGACCACATAAGATCTTAATCGTAAATTTGAAATTCCAGTTTCGTTAATGCCATCTGGCATAAAAATGTAAATTTATATAAAAAGAAGTAAATAAAATAAATAAGTAACAAAAGACGTATATAGTACATATAATATCTAACAAAAAAATCCCTAAATTAAGATTTTTCTTCCTTAACAACTTCCGCTGATTTTTCATCGTCATTATTTATCGATGTAGAATTAATAACAGCGTTCCCGGCATCTCTCTTCCGAGCTCTTATAAACATATAAAACAACACAGCCAACACTACGCCCCAATAAACGAAATATCCGACAGTCGTTCCAACTGTCGCTTCTTGTCTCCAGCCAAAGATCGTTTTAGCAATCCCCCATCCTTCATTAGTTTCCGGATTACAGCATTCCACCTTCCAGATGACAACTTCTTCGGTTTCTGTGGCCTCTTGAAATTCGTGGATTGACGTGGAGAAAAGTCCGGCGGAGATAAAGAATAAGAGCGTAGTCATTGTGTTGAAGAATACTGTGAGGGTTACTTTATGTGAACCTAGGTAGATTATGTAACCTATGAGTAAGCCTGTTAGGATTCCAGTGATTACTGGGATTGGTAGGCCGGTTGCTGGCTGTTCGAATCCGATCTAATTTATTAGCGACATAACAACAAAATTGGATATGATAATATTCAGAATGAGATTGATCGATTCGAAACTTTAATATCTTAAAAAACTTACACCAGCAATGAAAACCACTGATTCCAAAGCTTCACGAGTCACCACAGTGAATGGTAATAAGAACAACGCCCATTTTTGGCCACTCTTGTGTTTATCGAGATGGTTCTCAGTAGCTTCGCGAAGTTTCGTCTCCCATTTCTTTTTCCATTGTGCCACTCTAACCATACTTAATGCCATGAGAGTGATTACAATTGAGGCGAGTAATGAAAAAACACCCTCTACAAAATTTCATAGATGGATTTATTAATAATTAATTGACATTGGTCAGAATGAAAAATTCAGAAAAATTACCCCAAACAGGTTCACTTTCCTCCCACAAATTATGGGCCACCGTATAAAACACCACGATAAACACAACGCCAATAATGATTGAAACCATCAACCCAGCAATTGTTCCTGCCCATATTTGTCGTTTGAATTTACGACGTAGATTCTGATTCACCGGGTCACTTGGATTGGGTGGTAGCAGCTTATCGAGGAATCCGAGAAGCACCGATAAAATGATTGTACATTCAAGTGTTTCACGAAGTAGAATGAAAAATGCTGGTATGTCGAATAAATAGACCATCGTGTTTTTTATAATGCAAAGATGAATAGAGATTAATGTTAATTCTCATAAAATTTATCGTTTAAAGAAAATATACGTAATTTTTGAATGAAAATATATATTATTCATAAAAATATAACGTATTAGTGCTATTGGAGGAGCGAGCAAAAAAAAGAAAGAGAACTAACTTTTAAAAGTGAACTTGGTAAAAATCAGACTTGTTCTTTGACTGCTCTTTTATAAGATTTTTTTATATTTCTATTTTATATTTATTTTAGTCAAGATTCCCAAAAAATGCACAAGATTTTCACAAGAAAATAAAAATTGATCTTTTATTCGAACTTAGACCACACACAAACAATCAATTTTGTGTTCATTAAAAATCAAGAAAAAAAATAATATACAAACGTAATTTCAAAGTGTGTATACATTTTGGATCCTTCACACATTCGTTCATTCATTCATCAAGTTTCTACTCGTTATATTAATTTCTGGAATTTATTAACGATATTATAAAGAGGAACGAAAAAGCACGTGTATACAGTGGGGGATAGTATAAGACATCAAGTGTTACAACTTAAAAAGGAAAGATAATATAAAAAAATAATTTTGGCGTTCATGGCGCAGTATTTATTTTGGATGATCCGAGATCATCGTCCGAAATATGTGGGCAAATCATTGCCATTCAGAAAATTATCAGATTTTGATCCGGAAAGTTATTGGCTACCTTATTTATTTTTATTATTACTGTAAAAATTTATATAGTAGTACTATTAAACGTCAATTTGAACACACATCGTGAGAGAAAAATTTACAATAATAAACTTCGTCAATTACTGCTGGTTCGGAAAAAAACGGGAATAAAAGACAAGTTATCAGATCGCGCGCACAGAATGAGCGTTGCATAAAGTACTCTGTGTAGAAAATTTATTTAATAATAAAAAAGTTGGGAGAGGAATTACTTTATGCCGCACTTTACGGTAATAGATTTTTACAATCCCCCAATTCGCATATACATCAACAGTTATACATGAATAATTCAGAATACTTTTTGCTTCTCGAGTTAATTCTCTTACTATATATCACAATATCCAATTCTTCCAAAGATTCATTAATTGTTAAATAAAATAAAATGTTAAAATTAAAAATACCAAGGACGCAAGAATCAAACTGGTTATTGACGCAAAAACTCGTATTTTGTTATTCATTTATTTGATGAACGTTACATTATCATCTGGGAATCTGATAATGCACAAGCGATACCGATAATGAAAATTTTGAATTCAAAGCCTCATTATTCCTTACGAGTTTGTCCGTTACTCAAGTAATTAAATCAGAGTTAATAAAACCTTTGTGCAACTTTTCCCCCACATATATGCAAATTTGTCAATCTAGGGATGCATTATCAGATTTTTCATTTTACTTGTGTCACAAACACACACTAAAACTCTTTACTCGTACACATAGAAGTAAACTTGTATATATTGTTTGTTTACGTGCATCCATCTGATAAATCGAGGGTCACGAATTTCCTTTTATACATTCATATATAAGCATAAAGGATTATGAAGAAGAGGTTCAGTCAACACTGGTTACAATAACGTGATCGGGACCAGCACTTTTGGTTATTATAAAAAATTTTTTCGTTCCAGACTAACAGTGTTACTGTATCCAATATGTTATTATAAAGAATGTTGCTGTAACCAGCGTGGACTGTATTATGATTACACAAAGAACTTACATAAAGGAAGGAAGGATAAAGAAAGACCGAGAAGAAAATAAATTATTATTATTTACTGCTTACTCATGTGTTTATAAAATTAAATAAGCTATCTCGCTACATTTTACATAATTAATTAATTTATTTATTTATTTATTTATTCATTTATTCATTCAGACTCTTCCTCTTCCGCTTCTCTCAACCAATTAACAAAAACCGAACATTTCTTTCTCACTTCGTTGTTGTCTTTTGGCGATTGATCATACCATTCCAATATAGAATCCTCTTCGATCAAGTCTCTGTCGTAGAATAACTTGAAAAGCACGTGTGTTTTGGAAATAAGATTAGTGTTACGTTGGAGAAGGAATTTTTCCCAACATCCAAGGAAAATAACCTGATCATGACTCGAGTGAATATACTGAAAATGATTATTAGAAAAAAATAAATATTAAATATCATAATTATATATAGTTTAATAAATATAAATATCGCCTCGAATGTCTTTTTTACCGTTTTAAATAATTTTTCTTTGGTAAGCAAGTCTTTTTGAACTACATCAAAACTTGCATCTTCATATAAACTTCGTATGATGGTCATGAACAATTGCTGTTTACTCAAATCATGTCTCATTTCGATACGAGTTATTTCCTTGATTTCATCGTTCACCGATTTCGATTGTTCTTTGACTTGCACAAAAAACCGTTTCAACTCTTCAACGAGTATATTTTCAGATGACCTTTTATCAGCAGACACTGCAAGAATTTCATTCTTTTTACTGAAAGCATATTGAATAATTATTAGCATATAATGTGAACCACGTCTATTTAAATATAATAGAGAAAGAATGGCTTACATTTTGCCTAATTTTTCTAATTCATCGTTCGATAATTCCACTACTTTCATCCAAGATTTCTCGTTTTCGGGCTTAGATAAAAAAACATTTGAAATTAGCAAAAATAAATAATTATTTGCATACTTGAAAAACAAGTCAATAAAAATAATACTTTAGCATTTCCGCTTAAAAGATCTTTTAATGACACTGTATCATTAACAGCGGGACGTCGTCTAGGATTAACCGATGTTTTATTGGGACTCGGCGCGGGTGACGAAGGAGATGGATCTCGTTGTTCAGACTTTTTGGGCTCATTTTGTTCCTTCCTTTCTATTTCTCCAATTTCTTTTTTCTCCTTTTGGTCTTTTTGTTCATTTTCAGCCGGGGTTAATTTTTTATCTGCAGATACTTGACTTTCGGTCGGTTCATCATCTTTCGGAACCTCTTGCAGTTGTTCCGAATGAGATTCAGGTTGAGTTTCTGTCACTTCTTCAGATTGTGCATGAGGTGCATTAACACTAACATTGAAGATGAAAAACGAATGGGTAATTTGTCCCATTTCCAAAACTGGTATAAGTTCAATTATAAATACAGAATATGAAGAAAATATTTTTTTGACCAACACTAAATAATCATGCATAAAAAATACGAAATATTATTTTTTTCTTATCACCTGGATCGTCTATTCTGTAAATCATGATGACCTGGATGACCTGACAAAGAAACAATTCGACCGAAAATTCCATTTTGAATTTCTGATCGCGGAAATGGAGTATTCCCAGACGATGATCTTTTGTGTAAATCACTTAAATTATTACCGAAGGAACGTTGATATTGTCGTGGATGTTGATAAATATTATTATTGCGAGTTTCTTTTTCATCCTTTTCTTCCGATTCATCATCTTCGTGTTGCGGTTGTTCTGGAAATTCATTATCATGAATTGAATCTCCTACTGAATCTGGATTATGATTTCTCTGATAATTATTACTTTGATGATTGGCTCGATGCTCGCCATGATGATGCCACTGATTCTGTTGTGAATTATGATCGACGGAGTCGCGATCCCGGTTATCGCGTGGGTTAGGTGGAACGTCAGGTCTTTCCCGTAACTCTTGTTCCCCGTGAGCAAAATTGCATTTAGGTCCATATTGACAAAAATTTTCTTTAATGAACCTTTCGCACAAGCGAGTTTTATAGAGTGGATTTTCGGGTCCATCCTTGCTGATGGGTGGAGTCCCGGTCTTTTCCTCGATGAGAGGTCTTTCCCTTAATTCAGCGGTACCATGGGCAAAAGTACATTTTGTCCCATACGGACAGAACCCTTCTGTCTCGAATCTTTCACAAAGACGCGTCTTATAAAGAGGATTTTCAAAGGGCATCACGGGCGAGCTGAGAGGTGATGAGTATCCATTACTGCTGCCACCACCGTTTTTTTCTGACCGTTGTTGATGATGATTATTCTGAGTTTGATGATGCTGTTGACGCTGCTCGCGTTGCAGTTCAAGCCGTTGTCGTGAAATAGCTTGTTTTTGCGAGTCTAACGGTAATGCTAAATTCAGATTCTTTAACCGAGACTCTAGCCTATCGCTGTGACCGCTTTGGTGTTTATCAACACGCGGGCGAGGAGATAACGGATCAGAATTTCGCGAGGGCTTGATTTTTTCAATGAAAGCAGCGGCTTGTCTGAGGACATCTTGCATGCTTCTGTAGATTGCTTTCTCGGTGGCATTGTTAAGCGTAAGCCAATGAAAATTGAGACCTTCACCAGAAGTGAATATGCGAGCATGATCAATTGCTTGAGCAAGATAATATACTACTCTTTTTGGTCTGTAAGAAAAATATTATTATTCATAATACTTTGTTATACAGGCAACAATAATGTTGATGGTTGTCTTCAAAAAAATAAATATTATTGGTGTGAATAAACCTACCGGGTGCCTGATAGATATTTAATTTCAACTCTAAAGTTATCTTCAATTCTTAAATCCTTTGGAGAAAGACCAGTGATTTCGATGGTATTACGAAGTGCGCATCTAAAAAATTATATGTATTGTTTTTTAAAAAAGGGTAATCTTAGTTTTTGAATTATGTCATGTATCAATGCGTCAAAAAAATCAAGGATTCATATATTCTAAAAAAATGTTAATAAATGATATATAAATAGACATCTATATAGAGATAAAGCCTTTTGACCGAAGCGTTTCCACACTATAACCAGCATCACCCTCAAAAAAAAGAAACTCACTTTAATTCGTCCTCAAGACCAATTACTTTACCCTTAGGAGCGGTCCAATGTTTCTTATGAGAAAAATTGTCGTTTAACAATAAAAATTCAACTTGGCGCTGTAAACGGTAAATAAGTATTCCTGTAACATGGAGAGCCTGAGACTTGTTCTCGTCCATGAGCAAAGGGGAAACACAACTTAAGGCGTCGTCCGTCTCTATCTTAAAGTTCAACGCACCAGCAAATATTTAGAAAAAGAGGGGGTGGTGACAATTTTTTGAGCCTGCTGCAGCTCTATCCGTCTATTTATATATTTATACAACAGGTGAGGTCGCTCTCTCTTCTCTCTTCGCGATTTGGGAAAGGGAGTGTGGTGAGTTTGGTGGTAGAAGTGGAGTGTGGGAATGTGTAAAATGGGAATTTCGAGGATCAGCGCATCTTGCCTCGAAATATGCAGATCTCTTATCTTGTTATATCAAGGCTGCGCCATCGAGGTTAATTTAATCTATAATTCAATGTTAATCTAGCCGCAAAATTAAAAGTTCCATGTTTTTGCTTTATTATTTTCTGTTTGAATTGCTTCCTTTCTGTAATCACACTGTTGGATTCAATATTGTCTAAAAATGTAGTTATAAAAGATGATTCTTGAAAGAGTATGTAGTAAGAATATGATTGTTAAATTTTTCTTGCAGATGATTTTTATCATTTTAATTGAGTTTAGGATATTTACATATTATTCACGTGATTCTATTAAGTTTAAGATGAGTCTTAGGTTTATATCTAAAAAATAGGTAACATGTATTCATTTTGTTGATAAACTAGAATGATATAAAATAACTTAAATATAATTTTTAACATAAAATAGCAAGTTTTTACAATAAGTTTAATTATAAGTTAAAAATCAAATAACTTATTAATAAAATATAATAAAACTTATCTATTAAATCAAAATTTAATATAATATCAACTTGAGATAAAAAAATCTATTTGTTCAAATTCTCTTATTGAGAATTTTTTAAGTTGAAAAATTATTAAAAATACATAAGCAAATTTATTTGCTAAACTTTTATAAAAAATTTTTTTAATATTAGTTTTAATTAATATTTATTTTCATTTTTTTAATAATTATAAAAAATAAGTTATTTATAAGTTAAAAATAAATAATTTTAAAAATTTTTATTATTAATTTTAAATTTTAAAAATTTTTATTATTAATTTTAAATTTTAAAAATAATTTATAATAAAATTACAAAATTAATTACAAAACAAATTTTAAATTACAGTCAAATCTCTTTATAATTATGTTTATTTATAGTCATATATCTCTATAGTTATTCTATTTTGCTTTTCTATTTATATATAAATATAATAAAAAAACTCTCTATAGTTATATTCTTTCTATAATTATCAAATTTTGCTTTTCTAAGAATGATAACTATAAAGAGATTTAATTGTATATTAATTAAAAATATACTATATTTTTATTTTAGTTTAGAAAAAGAAAAAATTAAACTTATAAAAATTGAAAGTAAAATATATAAAAATAAGAATAAATTTATTTGTAAAAATTATTTTAGAAAAATATTTTGACAAGTTTTGAATAACAATTAGAATTATATATGTTTTATATCAGATGGGAGAAATAAGATAAATAACTAAAGATGATGATATGTATTTATTAAATACTAGTCAGCTAAAAAGTTACTTAAGAAATTTTCTTATAGTTTAATATGTATATAATAATAATAGTTTATAGACAAGTAAAATATTATAAATTCAATTTATTAAATCATTTTAATGACATGATATCACAAATATATAAGAGATCAAACTATAAATATAATATTTTAAATATATAAGAAATTATTAATATAACATTACAAATGTGTAAAAGATTATAATAAAACTAACATAAAACTTATAACTTAAATAATAAAATAATAAAAAGAATATTGTTGTATAATGGAATTTCACATTAATTATTAGTCAAAATTATTATTTAATCTTATTGGATAATTTTGAGAA